ACCAGAACTGAAGAAGCAGCTTGGATGAGCTGCGAAACATCTTCAACCAAACTCATTTTTGTCCAGTCGACAAATGGAATTTTCTCCTTGCCATACTTCCTCTATATTTTAAATATATCAAGATATTTTTTAAACATGATATGGATTTTGACATATCGTATATACCGATATAATGCTTATATTTAATTCAGATTTTGCCACTTTGCTTGTTTGCGCGCTCCCGCTCTCCCCTGCCTCCTTGATTTTGCTCACTGGTGTCTCATTCACTACTCACTACCGCCGTGAATGCCAGAAGTTGGTGCCAATGAAAAGCTTCTAGCACCACAAACCTTTTCCACTATTTACAGACAAGGCCAGAAGCAGCACATTCTCTGTCACAGAGAGGACACTCATGACTGACCACATCAGTGCACAAGGAGCAAGCTGTTTATGCAAATTAAACATGTAGTTTTAAGTTTTGTTTCTGTAAAATTTAAACAAAAGTGCGCAAAACTGCATTAAGCGCATTATTATCTCAAACGTGCTGACGTGGCTCTATAGCAGTTATGGTTTATATGTTGCACAGTTTAGTAATGTAAAGTTTATTTATGCAGAAGATTTTAATTAACAATCTGCTGCAGTGTAACTTCTACAATAGTATTTGGAAACGTTGGGTTTGATCTGCGCAGTGGTTTGTGGGATACCTCATAGCTCCTTACGGCTGGTTACGAACATGGATTTTTAAAAATAATGAACCTCCCGAGCTTCCTCTGCTAAAAGAGCTCATGGTTATCATATTTTTAACTTAGTTAATGTAAAGATGAGCCTGAGTTGAGTTGTTTTATTTTTTAATTAAAAGAAGGCAATATGTATTATTTCTTTTATGTTACAGTTAAATTATTATTTATGTAATTAGGGATTTTTTGCAACCTTAAATGTTGCAGAAGGACTTTGTTCCTATATGAACTGCCTACCTCTTGCACTTTAATAAAAAAGACCTTGTGGAATTTGGCATATTTGTTTTTGCAGTAGTTTTGGGGGTTGTTTTTCTTGTACAGATATTGAGATTTATATCGTATATTGAGATATAGCAAAATATATTGAGATATATTTTTGCTCCATTGCCCAGCCCTAAGCCAGTGCCTCCCACCCTTGTGACTTCAGTAAGGTAAAAGTCTTACAAAGCTAACTTTGAGGCCCTTTGGCAATTTAAAAAAAGTTCATGCTGTGAAAACAGATAAGAATCCCCACAAAATCCGGTGTTTGTGAAAGCTGTGGATGCCCTGTCAGCAAAACACAGGCAGTTTGAATTCCCCCAAAAATACATTGTGCTCTATAAGAGAATTCTTTCTGCACCCAGTACCAATGGAATGGCCACTTCTTGCCTCGCGACACATGGGGAAAGTCTTAGCGGTTCTTATTATAGATCCATGTGGAAACCCCTGGCTCTTTTTTTATATTTGATAATGTTTTTTTTTTAATGTGATTATACTACCTCATGTTTGCATCTGTTCTCTGAGAATGTATTCTCACAAGGGAGCGGCAGGGGGAGCTCTGTTGCTAAAGCTACTTCTGTTTAATAGCCGACATTAAGAAAAATCAAAGTAGGATTTAAAGATGCAGGTTTGTTCTCATTTAAGCATAAAAGCAACCTTGTAAATAACTGTAAAGACCTGAAAAATAATTTTGTTGTCTGGACTTGCCATTATTCATTTGGCAGAGATTTCAAGTTCTCTTCCAAAAGTACCTTTAAAGCAGTTTTCAGATGACTTCTTCTTGACCCTTTTTAAACACCTGAAGATTTATCTGTGTTGACCTGAATGACAGACAGCTCCTCTCCAAGTCTGATGTGACGAGCGCTCTTTTATTGAGTTGAGTGAATATATGAGCAGAGACTGGCTCCCATGGGACACTCTGGTGTCCTTGTGAGGATGGGGGCAGCAGTGCAAAACCACAGAAGGGGCGGGTCGGTCCGAACACTTCATTTTTACTGTTCCTTCCCCTGATCAGTGTCCCCTCCCTGATGAGCCTATTAGGTACAGAGACCTGACACCCAGGGGGCCATTTACTTGATTGACTTAAGTGAGAAAGCAGACTTTTTCCCTTGTCCATCAATAATGGTCCAATCAGCCCCCCAAGGAGCTACCTGGGTCTCCACGGACGACCCACACTCACAGGACTTGGATTAGCTAAAACCAGTTCAAAAATCTCTAAAGCCTCACCACATAGACTAAAATAAAAGTATGTTTTTATTGCACTGAAAAACATGAAAATCCTTTGTTCTAACTGTGAGCGGGCTTACATCTACATAAACCTGACTCTTACTTGTCCTGGAGGAAGACCCACCTGCTTGTCTCCATGGAAATGTTGTTTCTTTGGCTATAATATTCAACAGTAATGCATAAAACATATTTCTCTGCATGAAGAATATTCCCAAGTATGATTTTAACTTTCTATTTCCATGGAATCATGCAGGTAACGTGCCATCTCTAGAAAGTTATGCAATGTCACAGACAGGGCATATAAAATGGGACATTGAAATCCACATGATTGTGAATAAGTTTGGTGCTTATATAGCAATGCAGAAACCTTCAGCCCACTATTGTTAATTTACTTGACAGTACATTATTTATCTGTTTCTGTTAATAAATTGAATAGAAAGTTATGTAAAAAATGTTGTGTTTATACAACATATTTTTTTATGTTGCACAACCAGAGTCTGACCCAGACATATTTACTCAAACTCAGCCAACATCTCAGAACTGAAGCTGCTGATGCAAACAGCTGAAAATAATTTAGTTTGTGAACTTTTTATGTTGTAAACTTCAACAGAAGCAGTCAAGTTTTGTTACGAGAGATTTGTTAAAGTCTATACCAATTGGACTTTTTGAAGTGTTATGTTTTATGTGTGTTATTTGTTTTAAATATATTTTTATTTTGACTCATTAAAGTAAATTGGATGGGCCATTTTGATACCAGTCCTTATCTAAACATGTCACTCCTGTTAGGGTTTGTCATGGCTGCTCACTGGCCGTAGTCCAGCCTCATGATGCTTATCATATTCACCTTGTAGCAATAATATACTTCCACTTTCATCTGATAACTTTTATGACTGCCTCATTATATAGCACCACATGGTTTTGCTACTTACCCCACTCTCACCACGTCTGCCCGGGCTCAGCTTTAGATCAGGTTAATGACAAAGGACACACTATCAGAAAGCACTCATGAAGTCTACTGCCTGAGGTGCAATGGACTCTTCAGAGATAACACCATCAAACTTTTTATTTCAGTCTTTCATTTTACTGTATACACACACGATCATATCTTCTTTTTTTTATATTCTAATCTAATTATTACTTGATTTGGTGGGATAGTTATTTTGGTCAATATCTATCATATTTTTATATCAGTTATGACAGTTTGTGAAGAAATTTGGAAAGCAAAAAGTTGAAAAATACACAGCGTAGCAGTGAGTTCTAAAACAGAATACCTAATTTCCTGACCTGTCATCAATAAAGGTTTTGTCACTTATTTTTATTTCTCCAATCATAAGTATTGTAATTTGCTATGGTTGCTAGGTAACATGCCTCTATGCATGTCATATCTGCTCCCTGTATCTGACCAAGAAGTAAAATTATACCTTCACCAAAATTACAAAACTAGAAAAAGATTGGCAACCTTTTCACTAAAATCGTAAATCTAATATGCTAATATACAGAGAAATTAATAGTCTAACCTGTCATATGCACTTAAAATAACACTTTGGGGAACCATCAATAAATTAAAAGTTAAAATCCATGAAATTAGATTGTAATTTTTGGTCATGAGTGAAAGATTGATCCTTATCAAATGAATCTATTGTACGTGGGTGCGTCTCGGCCCGCTAATTGTTTGGGATGTCGGTGTGAGGGGTGTACGCACATGTGTGGGCTCGTCCAACTGCAGGCTGTTTACTGCGCAGATATTATCAGTATGAGTACACATAAGTGGCTTGTGCTAATTAGCTTTCCCAGCATGCCGTTCGAACAGCATGGCAATCACGGCGGGGATGAATATGGAACAAGTTCTCTTCTTGTGGTTGGTGTGTGTATCTTGGCAAACGCGACGCAGCTCTTTCATTGAAACGTCATGCTGCACCGCTCCGCTTCACTCCGGCTTCATCCTCCAGAGAGTGTCTACGTTTGGTGTTGTGCACCGTGCTGTAATTGTACTCAGAAGTGTCAGTTATTGCACTTTAAAGCTCACCTCATCACTAATTGACAGTGACGCACATTCTCCAATTCTCAGGTGTTAATGCATGATTATTTTTGGAAATAAAAAAGATAAACTTATTTTGTTTTGTTATCTTCAATCAACCCAGTACCCGTTGAAAGCTCTTGAGAAAAAGTTACTATAATTACTTTCTTTTCTACTGTAGACCATCAGTTAATTAAGGGGAATTGCAATTAAATTTAGTTAGAGAAAATAGTACTTGGGTTTGGATTTTAAAAGGTGTAGTGTCATTGTTTCATGCAGTTGTGCTAACAAGGAGCAATATCAGAAGTGTAGTTAATTTTCAATGGCATCTCACTTACTACTCAAGTGCTGAATATATCTTTAACATAGTGATTCTCAAACTTTTTACACCAAGTACTACCTAAGAATAGAAATTAGCCTCCAGACTACTGCCAGATCTTAAACCAAGTCTAAAACAGAACTACTTATGTTGGACTTTGGGCTAAATCAGGTGTAAAATTGGACTACACAACAGCAGTATTAACCAAGAAATAAAATGGGATAAAATGGACTCTGTACTAAACAAACATTAGAACTGTAGAGAACTTCACAGATGGAGTTTGCACACCACTGTTTGGGAAATGCAGCCATAAAAGAATAACTTTTTGTACTTTGTATTATTTGAGTGCAATATTCGTCTTCACTTCAAAGTACCTCTTACTTTTTATTTATTTATTTTTTTTACTTATGTTCAAATTCCATCAACACTATTATGAATGAACATTTTCTTGTATTTTTTGCAGCTCCGAGACACTAAATCCATCAGTCAGAACACAACCTTACTCCATTTTCTGACTGAGAAGTGTGAAGAAAATTACCCTGAAATCATGAGGTTCCCTGATGAATTGGAACATGTGGAAAGCGCTAGTAAAGGTAAGGCCCTTAACTAACCAACATTACAACAAACACTGAACATTTTACTGCTGATTTTTCACATTTTAATTAATTCAGTTTAGCTACCATTGTCCTTCACGTTTCCATTCTTTCATATGAGCTCGCAAACCTGCTATGTGGCAGAGCTAGCCTGTCAATAAACCCATTTCACTTTAATTCCATTCTGGAGCATTTGGTGGAATCCCTGGAGGCTTATTTACTTTGTTAGTGTCTAATTGGTTATTTAATCTAATTCCACTAATTATGCACTTGACTGAAGCTGCCAGCCATTGTGTAAGTGGACTAAGTAATCTTCAATCACTATATATATTTAGATTCGGTTCTCTTGTTCATTGAAATCATCATCAACTTTGTCAGTTTGTGGAAATGAATTATTCAAAGGGAAGACGGTTAATTGACTGAGACAAGTAAATAAATGTGTCTATTGGAAACGCTGGGGGGGCTGTTTAAAGAGTGGTGAGGCAAATAAGGCAATTTGCTCCTGGGCCTTTACACTGTTTAACCAATGAGCAAACAACTAGCATTGCCTGGTTATTACAGGTTTGGGTATCATCATAGACTGTATATAATAAAAGTGGACTATAAGGAAGTGTGATGTCACCCACAGTATTTGGCTCCAGTCAAATGAAGGTCATCGAGACAATTATAGGGGCAAATTTAGATCCGAGTTCCAAATTTGGAATTCTATAATCTGGGCGAGGCTTTTGAAGGTAACTCCCCTTACCGCCTGCACCACTGGTCAACCATGGCATTCACAGGCATTTTTGACACATTTCTGCCATAATATTATCTGTATATTGTCTTTGGGTTAGTTTAAAGTACTGTAAATTCTGGACTATAAGCCACTACTTTTATCTCACCCTTTGAACCCTGCGGCTAATAAAATGGTGTGGCAAATATATGGACGGATAGTTTGGCAACACAGCGGATATGCACAGCCTGAGTGCAGAAAGTGCCGCTGTCTGTGCGGGTAACACATGGATCTAGGGTTAACATGAAGTTGCTACACTATCTAGCGATATTGTCAGTGCACTAAAACAGTTCATCGCCATGTGATAAAATAAGTTATGATGCTAAATTAGTGAGGGGGATACGTCTTACCCGTATGCGTAAATGATGAGAAGAAACATCTCAAACTTCAATAGCCGGACATCCACTCATACCTGATTGATAGAACTTGACCCGGTCCCGAGATAATCTGAAATCTGCTGAAATCCTCCAAGACACTGACCTGATCCCAGACAGGACAAAGGCTCATTCTGCAGGAGTCATGCGCAGTAGAGCGCGAGGAGAGATGGGGTGATGCACCGAGGAAGATGCTCATTTGATTGTGTTTTGTTATTTTGCTCTTCATACACACACCCTCCTCATGGAAAACACACGAAGAAATGCACATGATGCAGCTTTTAAGTTAAGGCGATTGATGTGGCTGTTGAAGAAGGAAACAGAGCTATTGCACGTGAGAGACTTTGGGAATGGAAGCGTGACGAAGTGAATCAATCTAAAAAGACAACAAAAGCTTTCAGGGGCAATAAAAACAGATGGCCCGAACTTGATAATGTTTTTGAAGATGTGGACACCTGTGGCTTATATTCAGGTGCAGGTGTACAATTTTAAACTTTTGTTAAAATTTTGTTGATGTGGCTTATATTCAAGTGTGCTCAATAGTTCAGAAAATATGGTAGTAATTGTAGTAAAAAGTACTAACTTGCATCAATTAGAGCTGATATGATATTCATAATGCAGTTTTTTGGCCATTGGATTTCTGTAGTGTCTAGGACAGCACATATAATAATTATTACTTGGTCTAGTTTTGTGGTTGTCTTTGTATATGTATATATTTTTTTGTGGTTCACACTTAGGCCCTTGGCTCCGTATGGGGTAACAATATAGTGAGATGTTTAGTATTTCATCTATCTTTTCATTGTTGTTTATCACAAAGACTAGATTCTCTACATTTGAATATATTCCTTCATAAAAGATGAACTCTGAGCTATGCCCTTTCCGAGAAAGTATAAAGTGGATAAATGCAGTTCACTCTATGCGCAATTTTCATTCATTGTACGTTTGAAGAGATGTCTTTTTACGTGAACCCGGTGAACAGGCAAAACTAGGACATGCTTTGAAAACACATATAACAGATCTAGACACAAAGTTACAATGCATAAAAATGAATGCTTGTTTATGATTAGTATGAGGTTGTGCTAGTGGCAAATTTGTCGACCAATCTCTATTAAAAATGGGACCAATATTTGTGATTTTCTGTTTGCACTTTTAAATTGATTATAGAGTACTATTTAGCTTCTGCCCTCAATCTTACATACATTATGATAAGCAGACAAGCAGGTTCAATAACCTGGCGGTAATCAGGGCAGTCGTATAACTAGTTTGCATTATTATTGCCAGAAGTGACTTGGAAGTAGACACAGACACAGTTTAGTAGCAAAACATATATGTATGTGTGTGTGTGTGTGTGTGTGTGTGTGTATATATATATATATATATATAATTTTTTGTTCCACTTCCACAAATGGATGTATGGTTACTATCTATTTGTAATAAGAAAAAGAGTTAACAAGTGTACTGACTGAAAAAAAAGTACATAACACTGCTATATTTAGACCCATCCACAATGCTGTATTATGAAATCAGTCCAAGTTATACAACATTTTGGAGTATTGTGCAGTTACAGAACACACCTGAAGTCAGGGTCTTGAGCGGTTGATTGTCAGGAGCTTTGTCAAGGGGGGATTGTGACAGTGATGAGCGGGATTAAGCGTAATCAAAAGGCCATCTTTGGTTGGAAGCCGTCCAATTATTGATAAGTGCAATCAGGCGTGGGTAATTTCCCATCAAACTAATCATTTTCTGGGCTTGATTGGCTGCTTTGGACTCTTAGTTCTTGCGGTGAACAATTTTCCCCTGGAGAGTAGATTGGCACTTTCGAGTTTGATTTTGGGCACAGCTGTAATTCAACACTGATTCTTGGCAAAATTATGTGTATTATGTACGTATTGATTGTTTTTATTGTTATTTGTTTTATTTTGAATTTATGAAGGGTACTATGTAACTTTTCCGGTGGAGGGTCCACTATCATGCTGAAATATCCCGCAGTATGGTTTAAATTTATACATGCATATATTCAATTGTGGGTGTTTTTAAAGCTCAAACACCTGATTTGTAACTTGCCCTGGTGCCATATTCTTCTTATTTCTGTGGAGTTTTTATTTCAGCCTATTTTCCTTGAGCTAAAAAGAGACATTCTGTGGCTTTAACATTGTCATTTTTAAGTATTGCATTAATATTCCGGCATTTCATCCTTGTACTTTTTCTTTCTGTGTTTTGTACTATAAGCTCCAATAATGCATTTAGCTCCATTAAAGGAAGTGGTTCATGTTTTTAGTGTAGTTTCTCAATATCCTCTCAGATTTCTACAATCTCTTAAGCTGAGTCCATTCATTTTTCCTCTAGTCAAATACAGTACCTTTCCAACCTTATTATTGTATGTATGTATATATATATATATATATATATATATATATATATATATATATATATATATTATATATATATATATATACCTCCCTGAACAGAATCCAGTCACCATCACAGTGGCAGACATCCAGGGAAGAGTCTCAGGTATGAAAAACTGGACCGTACCGGGCCCTGACATGATCCATGCGTACTGGCTAAAGAAGCTCACTGCCCTCCACGAGCGCCTGGCAGCACAAATGAACCAGCTGCTAAGGGATGGGACTCACCCTGAATGGTTAACCCAAGGGCGTACGATCCTGATCCTAAAGGATCCCTCAAAGGGTGCAGTCCCATCCAACTATCGGCCAATAACCTGTCTCTCCACAACATGGAAGCTCATGTCAGGCATCATTGCGGCTAAGATAAGTGGGCACATGAATCAATACATGAGTGCAGCACAGAAGGGTATCGGCAAAAACACCAGGGGAGCCAAACACCAACTCCTGGTTGACCGAACAGTCGCCCGCGACTGCAGAACCCGTAAGACCAACCTGTGCACTGCCTGGATTGATTACAAGAAAGCCTATGACTCAATGCCACACACATGGATCACTGAGTGCTTGAAGCTGTACAATATCAACAGGACTCTAAGGGCGTTCATTGCGAACTCGATGCGGTTGTGGAAAACCACCCTTGAAGCCAAGGGGAAGCCACTTGCACATGTGTCCATCAAATGTGGCATATACCAAGGAGACTCACTGTCCCCACTACTGTTCTGCATAGGCCTGAACCCTCTCAGCCAAATAATCGACCGCACTGGCTATGGATACCGACTCAGAAACGGGGCCACCATCAGTCACCTCCTCTACATGGATGACATCAAGCTGTACGCTAAGAGTGAGCGAGACATCGACTCACTGATCCACACCACAAGGATCTACAGTACAGACATCGGGATGTCATTTGGGCTTGAGAAATGTAGCAGGATGGTGACAAAGAGAGGGAAGGTAGTCCACACAGAGGGGGTGTCACTCCCAGAGGGAACAATAGCAGACGTTGAGGACAGTTACAAGTACCTTGGTATCCCACAAGCAAGTGGCAACCTCGAAGAGGCAACAAGGAAAGCGGCTACGGCCAAATACCTGCAAAGAGTGAGGCAAGTCCTTAGAAGCCAGCTCAATGGCAAGAACAAGGTGCAGGCAATCAACAGCTACGCCCTGCCAGTGATCAGATACCCTGCAGGGATTGTAAGCTGGCCAAAGGAGGAGATACAGACCACAGATGTTAAGACACGAAAGCTCCTGACCATGCATGGAGGGTTCCATCCCAAATCCAGCACCCTGAGACTGTACGCAGGCCGGAAGGAAGGACTAGTGAGTGTGGGAACCACTGTCCAGGATGAAACATCCAAGCTCCTTGAGTACATCAAGGACAAGGCCCCGGCAGATGAGGTGCTCAGAGAATGTCTCAGACAGTGGGGTCCAGAGGAAGAGGTGCTGGAGGGA